TGGAACTGCCACGTGCGCGAAGTTCATCGGGATGCTCGACAAAAATTCTTAAATTGGATTTGGCATGGGAAACCGCGTGGTGGGTATATTTATAATGATGTGATGAAATCTAAAAGAGTATTTAAACGAAAACTTAAGTTTTGTCAAAATAATCAAGACCAGATCAAGATGAATAAACTAGCGTATCAACATAGGAATAAAGATTTTTGTGGGTTTTGGAAGCATACTAGCAGTTGAGTCCTCAAGCAGGTACCCCGGTGAGCGTTGGGTTTGTTAATGAACCGGCGAAGATAGCCAATCTTTTTAAGAGTCAGTTCCGGGTTCAGTCTTCTTTACAGTCACATGTTAAAGTCGATGCTGAGGATCATCATCACACTGGTGCATCAACTCACGTGCCCGATCGCATCACTGCCAGGGACATCGCTGTTTTGATAAATGGCATGACTGGAGAAAAGTCACCTGGTCACGATTACCTTAGCACCGAGCACTTTCAGTTCGCTGGTTCGCACTTACCTAGACTACTGGCACTCTTTTTCACCCTATGTATGAGGCACTCGTATTTGCCGTAAGAGCGGATGAGAACGGTCGTAGTTCCGATTTTGAAAAACAAAACTGGAGATATGTGCAACTATCGGCCCATTTCATTAGCGACAACTGCGGCTAAGATACTTGACAGTATGCTTGAGAGACAGTTAAAAGTACATATTAAGTTAAACGATGCACAATTTGGTTTTAGACCAAATCTATCAACTGAGTGTGCAATACTGTCGCTGAAGCACACTGTGGGGTATTACACTGTAAGTAATACGCCAGTGTACGCAGCCTTCCTGGATCTTTCAAAGGCTTTCGACCCTGTCAGGTATGACATTCTGTGGGATAAATTACGCAAGGCTGGTCTAACCGTCATTTACATTAGCATTTTTAGCTATTGGTACGATCATCAAATTAATCAGGTCAGGTGGTCTAGTGCACTGTCGGACGAGTATAGGTTAGAATGCGGTGTGAGACAAGGGGGATTAACCTCACCTACGCTTTTTAATTTATATATAAATGAACTGATCGATAGACTCGGGAGTGCACGTGTCGGCTGCTCTATTGATGGACTCTGCATGAACAACATCAGTTACGCAGACGACATGGTGCTTCTGAGCCCGTCAGTCAGTGCACTCAGACGGCTTTTGTTCATATGTGAGGTTTATGCAGAAGCCCACAGTCTAAACTATAATGCTGCGAAGAGTGAGCTCATGGTGTTTAAGGTGGGCACGAAGAAACCAAATTTCGTACCACCTGTAACTTTAGGGGGTGTTGCACTTAAACGAGTAACTGAATTTAAGTACCTAGGCCATGTTATTACCGAAGATTTAAAAGATGATAAAGACATTGAAAGAGAAAGGAAAGCGCTGACTGTCCGCTGCAATATGCTGGCCCGTCTGTTCTCACGCTGTGCAGCCGAGGTAAAAGTTATTTTATTTAAGGCCTATTGCCAATCCCTCTATACTCTTATGGGTCAGATATACGCGGCGGGCATACAACACCCTACGTACACAATATAATAACGCTTTTAGATTGTTGCTGGGGCTCCCACGTTACTGTAGTGCATCAGGTATGTTTGTTGACGCCCACGTAGACAATTTTTCAACACTTATTCGCAAAAGATCTGCGTCACTGATGCACGGGGTTCGTGGGAGTGCCAACAGCATTCTTAACGTAATTAGTGAGAAACCCGAGTGTACTTTTTTGAGGCACTGGGTTCATGTCCATGTCCAATAGTTACTCCTAAGTCTTTAATCTCCGGTATCTCTTGCAAAACTACATTACGAATTGAGTAACTAGAGACAAGCGGTTTTATTTTCCTGGTGTATTTTATATAGAAGCATTTGTTAGCATTAAGAGTCATACTATTGACGTCACACCAATGGGATATTCTATTCAGATCTTCCTGTATGAGTTTTATATCCTCCACTGACTTTATTGGTTTATAAATTTTTAAATCATCAGCAAATAACGAGCAACGACAGTTTTTGATTACAGTAGTGATATCGTTAATAAAAGCCAAGAATAATAGAGGGCCCAGATGCGAACCTTGAGGCCCCCCGGATTGAGCTTGATACTGTTCTGATTCAAAACAATTAACAACAAATATTTGAGATCTCTTCTCCAAATAAGATCTAAACCATCCAATCAAGGAAGGACCAATACCATACAGAAAATGTTTGTTAATGAGTTGCCTGTGGTTAACCTTGGCGAATGCACTGCTATGTCTGTATATATGGCGTCAATTTCTTGGCCCTTGTCTACCTCTTTTAAAAGATCAGAAGTAAAATTACACAAATTAGTTTGAACTGACAATCCACTTCTGAATCCATGCTGCGAGCTAGTAAGAAAATTATCAAGGTGCTTGGCAGGAACTGGGTGCACAAGACTTTCAAATAGTTTGGAAAAGCAATAAAAAATTGATATAGAGCGATAATTTTTTATATCCATGCAATCACCCTTTTTTAAAACTGGGTCTATTCGTGCCTTTTTCCATTCTTCAGGGAAGATACCATCTTCTAGGGAACGATTAAACATAATGGTCAATGAAAAAGCATTTTTTGGGCCACAACGTTTAACAAAAATGGGAGTGATACCATCTGAACCCACACCCTTTTCAGTGTATAATGTTTTAATTTTTTTTACGACATCTGTTTCATTGATCTTCAATTTACTCAAATGTGTAATATTGTTGTTTTGCATAAAGCATGCCGCTTTGTTGTTAGTTGTTTTGGTGTAAACGGATGCGAAATGGTTTGCAAATAAATTGGCTATTTCCATTCCAGAGTTTGCCACCTTGTTATTCAATTTCATGGACGCGGGTAGAGTTGACTCACCTTTCTTTTTATGTTTAATGTATTTCCAAAGGTGTTTTGGGTTTTTCGAAATATCAGATTCTGCATTGTGTTTAAAATTATTAAAACATGAAACAAAGAGTTTGTGCCAACGACTGCGAAGTATTTGAAATTCTAAGTGATCTCTGGGGTTATTATATGTGCGATATTTTTTGTGGAGTTTTTCTTTCTCTGATAATAACTTAACCAAGCCATGTTTGAACCAATTAGGATACTTTGCTGAAATGATCTTACGTTTAGGTACAGATAAATCGATGACTTCAAAGAGACGATTATAAAATACTTCGACCATAGCATTGACATCTTTACATTCAGAAAATTCGTGCAACCAATCAATATTTTTAATTTTATCAATAATAGTTTTATAATCAGCCTTAAAATAATTATAATCTATACGAGTTTTGGAAGGAAGGAAGGAAATATGACCGAATTCTATACTTAGTACCCGGATGACCGAGCTTTACTCGGTTTTTTTAAGTTACATTTATATACAAATTACGTGAATAATAGTTTTTAATCTTATTGACATAATAGAAAAAACTGAACTGGTTATTTGAATAAAAAATCATGAGTGCAATTAGTTTAATTAAAATTTTCGTATTTTTAAAAAATACTAAAAAAAGGGCTCGAAATAATAGGTTTTCTCACAAAAGAAAGAAACTTGAAAAAAAAAAAGGAAAAAAGTCGGACACAAGACGGGACGCGAACCACGGAACTCCGATATCACGCCCGATCAACATCCAAAATTTTCAAAATTTACCTTCTTATATTGTAGCAGTTTTTTTTATTGCCCGAAAACACGGACAAAAGGACATTTTCTAAAAATAAATCCTAGCTAGATCGATTTATTGCCCCCGAAACTCCCTGGACACTATATTTTATGAAAATCGTTGGAGCCGTTTCCGAGATCCCAATTATATATATATATATATATATATATATATATATATATATATATATATACAAGAATTGCTCGTTTAAAGGTATAGGATTGACAAATCAGGATGGTATGAATCTAATTTACTAAGTATTTCAGAAGGCTTTGTAACTATAATGTTTGTTAAATTACTTAGCACTAAGTCCAAAAGTCTACCGTCACAGTTACTTATACAGTTAACTAACTAATATTGGTATAAATTATTGATGGACAAAAAGTCAACTAATGAGTCCTCATGGCTCAGAGCATTATTATAATTACATGGTGTCATGTATGAACATTTTTCACTAGCAGACCACTCAATAAAACCCATATTAAAGTCACCTATAACGACTAAGTCATCAGCGTGGTTAGCAACATTATCCACGCTATCTAAAAAAATATTTAAGCTTTCTAGTTTAACTGGTGGTGGCAAATAGACTACATAAAGTCCAATACTTTTTGTGACAAGTTTGGTTATTATTGAATTTTAGCTCTACCCACATATTTTCTTCATCGGTTTCCCAATTTACAATACGAGAGGATGAGATCTCACGTGAAATGGCAATGAGACCACCTCCACCATCCTTTTTGGATGCGTCTAGATACGCACGATCTTTTCTATAAACAACATAACGGGAATCAAATACTTCATTGTCAAAGATACTAGGATTAAGCCAAGTCTCAGTAAATATGATAATTTTATGATTTGAAATCAAGATATTCTTAAGCACATCGTAGGTCTTAGTTCTCAAACCTCGCACATTCTGATAATGGACTTCTAAAACTGTAAACATTTTGGCGCCATATCATTCACATATTTTTTTTTTAATTTATATTATGAGCTTAAGACTATATTCATTTTTTATTATTATTGCTTGACTAAAATCGTCTTTGCGCACGTAAATTTTTCCATCCTATTCCATATGAAGCGATATTTTATTTCTTTGGATTTTATGCGCGCAACGGCATGAAGGGATTTATTTCCTGGAGTTAAATGTTCTGAGACATATAATGGAACTCTAGATCATCCAATTTCCTAGATGGTGAGAGTTAAGTTTACCATCAGGATTTTTCTTATTAAATAAAGCAACAGCCGCCAGGAGAGCATCTCTGTGTTTCATGGTACGAAGCTTAACAATGAAAGAACGTGGCTTGTTGGCATTTTTATTCAACTTAGCTGCTCGGGTAACATATTAGATGTCATCAACTGACAGCGAATTTTTAACAGCTTGTCCTAACTGCACGATAGTGTTTGCTAAATATTCCGCTTTATGTTCGTGAACACCATTTACTTTGATGTTGCATTCTCTCATATGTGATTCGACGATGTTTAAGCGGGTTGTAAGGTCCTTGACTGATGCTTGAAGTTGAGTATTTTCTTTTTTTAAGTTGTTAATAATAGCGGATTTTTCTTCAATTGCAGCTTTCATCTCTTCAAATTGCGCATTTATGAACGACATAGATTCACAAAATCCCGCTATTTGTTCATTAATTGTATTAAGCTGTGCCGTAACAAGTTTTTGAATGGTTGTAGAAAGTTCTTGTTTAATAATATCACGAAGAGTATTTTCTGTCAAGAAGTTACTACCATCATTGCTTTTCATCGATGCTGGGGCTGGTGACTCGCTGTGTTTTTTACGTAAAGTGACGAATGGCTCAGAGGAGTATTCGTCAGTAGCTTTGCCGCATGTTTGGCTAGTGACAGCTGACCTAATAGGTGAGTGTTACCAGTTTTTGGTTGCTTACTGGAACATTCCGGGCATTTCCAATTATTCCTCTTTTGCTGGTCCATTTGATCAAAGTAGGTATGTTTGCGCATTCGCAGTCATACTTCAATTTACAAATAAAGCAACTAAGAAATTCTTTTTTGGGTAAAGTATTTTTACATCCGGCGCAAATTTTAGAATTCATAGCGGACGCCATTACTGTTACAATTTAATAACTTAAATTTTAAGTTTGTAGAAATGACAAAGAACTCTCCGGTGTTGGGAATCGATCGCACGTCGCTCGAGTTTGGACGTCGTTATACTATCTGCGCCACGGTAATGTTCGTAAATTTTGCGAAAATATCAATCTATTTAGAGTACAGCAACAAGTTATTAACAGTCTGTCGGTAGTACACAAACAAAAGTTATCAATAGGTCGTGAGTAGTCACAAATTACTGTATTTTAAAAAGGCTCACTGGATTAACTTTTTAAGTTATTTTTTTTAATTAGAAACACTGATCACACACTATTAGCTTTTATTACACAATATGAAATATATATTACACTTTGAAATATTTGGTAAAGTTAACATTCGAAGTTACTGCGTTAAAACCAGGACATCTTCAGAATTACGTTAGAACCTTGCAGGATAATAACGACACAGAATTATTGTAGATTAAAAAATGATTCTGTATTACTTTTGGTAGTTATTTCGAACTTTTAGAATTAAAAAATAAATTTTTAACACAGATATGTTGCACGACAAGTTTGACACATTTTTTGACACACTGTATACTTCACTACAAATGCAAAATTGAATCGCGTTACTATACACGCGCTCTACAGCATTTGAGTTAGTGTCCATTTTTACACATACCATCAAATTGTACACGTGTCGATACAATGGTGCCGCTGTCTACATGGTTAAGCAACGTAAGGCGAAGACTATATCGATATTATTTATCGATAAACAAATCATCATAGTCCGCATAAGTTTTAGTAAAAGTGATTTTTAGTATTTTTTCATTCATTACCTACAGTCCTAGTCGCTGCTGAACATAGGTGCTTTGTTTGGCATCCCTTGTGGGAGCCCAAGGGATGCCAAACAAAGCACGGTGCTGATCCACCTGCGTCCATTGACTTCCTGCGTATCTTACCAGGTCGTCACTCCACCTATTGGGGATAGCCCTGCTCTCCACCCACTGGTATGAGACTGCCACTCGAAAACCTTTTTACCCCCATCGGTTGTCAATTCTATCCGAACTATATGACCATCCCATTGCCACTTCAGCTTCCATTCCGTTGGGATATGTCGGGTTCTCCGGTTCTACTGTGAATATCCTTATTTCTATGTTTATCATGCAGAAAACCCCGAGCATAGCCGTCTCCGTAGCTCGCTGAGTGACTTTGAGCTTCCTTATACGGCCAGCAGTGAAGGCTAAATATAATTATGTGCCAAACTGATCAAACCTGATCAAACTCAGATTTTAATTCAAATTTTATCAAAGTTTGGCTATGGGTACTTTCCACATTGTGTTTATACCAACCAATAAAGTCAAAAAAAGATCATCCTAATTTGTCGGATATAATATCAAACCTGTAGTAGACATAGCCATGTCTTTGGCTGCTAGCATGGCAGTTGATGAAATCAACTGCTTAATTTTCATTTCATCCATGACCAAGCCACAATGAAAACGTTTTTTTTTTAATTTTCCTTGAAGTACAGTCTGTTCGATCAAATACGGTCGTTTTTATGCCGCGTCGCTTCAGCAAGTGCTGCATTTTATCAAATACGCGACATTAATGTTCGTAGTTCGTACTGTAAAGCACCCGAAACGTCGGGAATCAAAAGTCAAAATTTAACGCGATGAAATCCGTTCTATTAGTTTCATTTAACGTGTATTGTTCGCGTAAATATAAGAAGTCATAAATGTAAACTTGTCGAAATCCTAAAATATTTTCAAGAAGAATAATATTGGTGTCAAGAGCAATAATAAAACTATTTAATCTATTGATATAATTACAGCTAGACATTACCTCCAACTGGTTGGTACAGCAGTATCGGCAAACCTTATTTTATTGATAACTTGGGGTATGAAATGAAATACGATTTATCAAAATCTCCTATGCAGATGTACTACAGTAATATTTACTGATTATTCCTGGGATTCTGTTCGTAGATCTGCTGAAGAAGGCCTTGCTAGGATCGATAAGTGGCTAAACACTAACCTACTCACGTTAAATACTTTAAAAACTAATTATATATGTTTTGCAAATTATTATGGGGGTTATCTATATAGTTTTCTCATCTGGTTGGGTTCTATAAATATATAAATTATAATAATATATAATATATATATATAAATATATTATATTATATATTATATTATATTATATATTTATATTATATATATAATATATAAATATATAATATATAATTTATAAATGAAAATGAAAAGATAAATATACATAAATATCAATAAAATATCCTGACTGAGTTCACCGAAATGTAGTAATCCACGAAGGGCTCATGTAGAGCTCTGTAGTACCTCCCGTGGAGCACCTTCTCCTTCCATACGGTCTCCCGGTCGGAAATGCTTTGTACTGCTGGGTCCTGCCATTGCTCGTTGGCTAAGGATAGAGGGGTAAGCCCTTTATTACTAGAAATGACGTCATTATAGAATGGATCATCTGATCTCGCCAGGAAGTAATCACGGAGGCTGCACACTTCACGATTATGCATGGTGAGCTCGCTCAGAAAGCCACGCCCACCATGCTTTCGCGGCAAATACAGCCTCATTACCGACGATCTCGGATGATGCATCCTATGGGACGTCATGAGGAGAGGCATGACCCAGCCGTTATATGCGTGGGTCTTATTCACACCGGAGAAAAATCTGTTAAGCACTTTGGTCAAGCGTGCATAAAACACATCGCAAATGTTTCATATCAGCCTCATCGATACCGATGTTCTGTGACATACCCAGGTATCGATATGTTTCAGCCTCGGAAAGGATCCTTAAGTTGATGGAAATAGATAAGTCTATGCCCTCTGAGTTAGCAATCCTTCCTCTTTCAACATGGAGGACCGCACACTTATCCGTCCCCAGCTCCATTTCAACAGAATTGCTAAATTCACAAGTGATGTTTAGGAATTCCACAAGATGGGAGCGATTGAAGTCGAATAATTTGAGAGTATAGTTGTGAGAATATAAAAAGGTAGGTCACTTTTGTACCTCCTTTCCGAAGCTGAAATCCCCTCCCGGAGCCCTCCACTAAAGTACTGAGAGGGTTCAGAGAGAGGCAGCACCAGATTGGACTCAGTCGCTCCGGAATATACCCCGTCTTATCCTTATGCGGCTTTCCAAAAAAACTATTATTATTATTATATAATTTCCAAACTAACCTTCACACATGCGATGATCCCTCAAGTACTAGTTGCAGCTGTTCATTAATAAGTAAGGTCTCTGAGACCAAGTATTTAGGAGTCATAGTTGACCAACATTTGTCATGGCATAGACACATTGAATTAATCATGAATAGACTTAGGGAACTTACATGGAGATTTAAAACATATTCAGTTGGTATTCATACTTTCCACACTAGCCATTAAATATATTATAGTATGTAGTATATTGATTGCATTTAATTCAATATAAATCTATTTTAGTTTTTGTATGTATATGTATATATATATCTATATATATATATATATATATATATATATATATAAATATATATATATATATATATATAAATATGTGTATTCTTTTTATCACACCAATTTGCCCTACTCCTGTCATCTTCATGTAATCCTGTCCATTTATTGGTTGTCTGGAAGAAATTGCTATCAGCAGTAAGATCGCCCATTGCATACTTTTAAAACGTGGTAGAGCCATGCTATATGCATCATATTAGTAGTATAGTTGTAGCACTAATGGGTCAGCTCGACCGGGGAAGAAAGCTAGGAAAGCTAAAAAAAATCAAAATATCTATTGGAATTACACAAGACAAAAGTAGCAATTATCATTATTTAAAGTTTTGGTAACGAATTATTAAAAATTATTACAATACAAATCTACTTCATGCATCCATGTTCTGTTTCACAAATGTTTGCGCGTGTATTGGTCAACACTGGCAAAACATTTATAGGGGTGGTTTTGATCGGTAATTTTGTTTAAAATATGATATTATTTGTTATGTATCAATAATCCATCTTGAGTCAAGCACTTGTCTTTCCGCCTACAGTCAACACTTCCGGCTACCTTACCTGCATGGAGGGGGTACCTCCCCACTGTTTTTGCTTTGTTATTTATATAGTGGTGAGCACCAGGTCTCGTCATTATAGCGTTGTTTTTCGCGCCTTTCACAAGTTAGCCTTTGTAAGCACGAAAAAGTTTTAATTTTACTAAAACTAACTGATAAATAACTACCCTACTAATAAAATATGGAGGAACAAACTGTTGACGAAGTTACATTATTAAATTCTCAAAAACGTGTGCGTGCGTGTATCATCGAGTTCGGAGAGCAGGGATTCGTCAGGAAACAGTGTTTGCAGTCAAACAAGGAGACTCAAGAAAAGAAAAACGGATCAAACCGTGAGTAATGAACATTTAGAATTTTTATCCCAGCAAGTGACCTTTTTAACTAATATTATTACAAAACTTAGTGAAGTTACATGCCAAAATCAAAAAATAGTCCCTTCACTTAATCTTAACTTGCACCGACCTACAACAGAAGGCGGTGACAAAAAGCTCAAGCTATCAGATTTGTATACCACGGTTAAAGATCCTATTTATCCTTGTGCAAATGAAATACATTTAAAGAAATTAGTAGAATTACAGCGTTTTAATTGTGATGATTGGTATGCTGTACGGTTTATCGATGCCCAGAAGAAATATTTATCTACCCCCGGTTTTGTCGAACTTGCTGTAAATGATTCGCTAAAACGATTTGAATCTGCAATGTTGCGTGATGATCCTCGTTCTTATTTGCTAGAACGTTCCTTCGCCGGATTAACTAACTCCTTACTTTGCCAAAAAGAGGAATTACAAAGAGCATTACAAGCACTAGTAGATTGGGCCGCTGATTCTCAACAGACATTGACTCCAAATACATTATTTATGATAAAATAGAGAGAGACGTTATTTTCCATATAGCAAAGTAACTGAAGTTTTGTTTCAAATGGTTTGTAATAGACGAGCGGATCTTGTTACCTTACGCAGAGGTTCATTACTGCGACAGATTCCTGAAGAATATCATCGCCAGGTTTTGCAAAAAATCCCTCCTAACGTAGAAACTCTGTTCAACGACGATTCCATTCAGACCTACATTCAGAAAATTGGAGGGGCAGATAAATTGATCACTTCATCCTGATCAGTGCCTAGTACTCAAAAATATTTTTTTTATGCAAATCAAAAGCCATCGACTAGTAAACAAGCTGATGATATATTTTTTCATCGAAACAATCCCTCGAAAAGAGGAAAACGTGCACCTCGCCCATCCAACCAAGCGAATCAAGATAAATCGGGCAAAAATAAACAAAGAGGAAAGAAATCGCAGTCGCATTCTTCCTTTTAAGATGATCGTCGTAAATGACTCTCTTCAAAAATTTCGTGGCGGCTGTTTGAAGCAATTTCAAAGTGTTTGGAGCAATTTAGGCGCACCGGAACAAATATGCAGACTATTAAGCGGCTCGTACATCCCATTCATACTCAAGCCGCCTCTAATACTTCCAAATCAAATTATGATTCAGAGCTACAGGACCAAAACTTCCTTTAATATGACTCGCCAAATTCAAAGTATGTTAAAGTCCGGAGTACTCGAACAGGCGGAGCCGAGTGCCAGTTTCCTTTCAACATTCTTTTTGGTGACGGCAGCTACCGTCCAATATTCAATTTGAAACAATTGAACAGGTTCGTCAAAACGAAACTCTTCATATTGTTCAGTCCTTTCGAGTACCCACCTTCCTGCAGCATCAGGATTAAGTTAAAAATAATATTAATAATAAATTAGACCTAAACCAAGCCTACTTTCACGTTCCGATTGCTCGGCGTCATCGAAGATTCTTGAGACTAAATTATCACAGCAATACAAACCAGCACCAACTGCTCCAGATGACCTGCTTACCGTTTGGCCTTTCCTGTTCACCGAGAACATTTGCCTCAATAACAAACTGGGTAACTGGGAACGGTCGGGATGATAAAAATAAATTAAAGTTGAATTAAACGCGATAAAATCCGTAAATAATAATTTTATTCAACAAACTGGGTAGCAGAGTTTCTCAGGAATCGGGGCATCAGATGTGTAGTTTATTTGGACGATTTTCTAGTGGCAAGCCAGTCGAGGCAACAACTTCAAGAAGATATATCATTAACGATAAAGATCATGCAGTTACTAGGTTGGACAATAAATTTCGAAAAATCCTTGCTGATTCCGACACAGTGCCTCGAGTTTCTCCGCATTACATGAGACACAAAACTCAATGCGAAGTCCTTATCGGAGAAAAAGTGCACTTCAGCAACAGCTCTTAAAAGGCAAGTGGTCCCTCAAACAGTATCAGATCTTAATGGGGAGACTCAATTTTGCCACTTACGTAACCCGGAGAGGTCGGCTTCACTGTCGAACACTGCAATACTTCAGTCGACAGTTGTCAAAGGACCACCCTTACCGCCAAGTGAGTATTCCACTACCAGTTCAATACGAGATGGAGTGGTGGCTATAAGCTGTAGGTCAAATGAGATAGTAACTCACCTTCTAGCAACCGATGCTTCAGATATCTTCTGGGGTGCTCAACTCGGCGATATAAGTACCTGGGGGACCTGGATGGACCGGCAACTAACCTGGCACGCAAACGCAGCGATATCACACGATCGAAATCTGCTACCGAACCCACAAGTGCTACTTCAGACAGATAATCGAACAGTGGTGTCTTATATAAACAACGAAGGCGGAAGCAAGTCCAAAAAGCTTCTCGAGCAAACTCGACAACTCCTTGCACTTCTAGACAAATTCAATATACACCTTCAGGCCCAGTACTTTCCAGGCAGATTCAATGTCGAAGCGGACGCTTTATCACGCCAAAAGGCCTGCCCCGAGTGGCACCTCAGTGTGACCTCACAATAGCGACGACATCCAAAATATTTCGAATGTGGGGCACACCGGAGATAGACCTATTTGCGTCATGTACTGCTCACGTGACCCCAAAGTATGTTTCAGTGAACATTCAGGACAAGCAAGCACAACATCACAACGCATTTTGTCACCAGTGGCACTACAAACCAGCGTGGTTATTCCCACCACCCAATCTTATTCCCAGAGTCCTAAACCATTTAAATCAAGCCAGCGGAATATACATATTAATTGCCCCGAAATGGAACAAGGTGTTTTGGCAAGCAGATGTTCAACGCCGAGCTCTACAACCCCCTTATAGAATTCCAGACCTAGTCCACACTCTAGTAGACACGAGAACAGGCCCACCCACCACAGATTCAAGACTTGCTCCTGGAAGCTGATTTTGGGTGGCAAGATATGTTAACAGAATGGACGGATAAAGAACAGAACTTGTTAATATCAAGTTGGCGAGGCTCTACGATCAACACATATAAACCAGCATGGAATAGATGGAAAAAATGGTGCGAGTCTAATTCGGTTAATTATAAATATCCTAACCCAGAACAAGTAGCACGTTATCTAGCACATTTACATTGTGATATAGGTCTTGCTTACAGAACAATTTTAGTACATAAATCTGTGATTTCAACATTCACTCACTTAACTTCAAAAGTAGATTTATCTTCGAATTTCTTTATAAAACACATATCTATGGCCCGTACCAAACCAGTAAAGCCACCAATTTGGAATCCTAAGTTTCTTATGCAGTATATAGGTAAATATAATTTAAATGAAAACAATCTGTATGAAGTATCAAGGCGTACAGCTACATTATTACTTTTGGCTTCTAGTCGGAGAGTTCATGAACTCAATTTGTTGCATATTGACAATAACAGTTTAATAGACGAACAAAGTAGCATAATCTTATGGCCAGCTTTTGGTTCCAAAACGGACACCATTAATCATAGACAGTCTCGTTGGAGGTTTAAAGAACATAGAGCTACTGAGCAGTATAGCAGCACACTCAAAACGTCGAAAACTGCTAAGTTCACATAATGATTTATTCAATGCTAAGTTTATTTCATCCCAATAGCTACTCCAGCGCTGTTGTAGAGTTTTTGAAATATTATTTACTGCTTATAGATGGCCACTTTTTCAACTATTCTACTATGGGAGTTGGTACTCTTTACTTGTACACTCCATAGTTTAGTAGATGTATTCAGAAAATGCGATAGTACTGAAGGTGACATATGGAACTACCATAAAGAAGTAGCGCACCACACAACATAAGAAATAAAACTAAAGCAGAAAAAGAGTTTCATATATTACATGCATTGGAGATGTGGGATGGCATGAAAGGGTTATTCCGGACTTCATAGCCTAGCTAAGATCTATTTGCCTATCGTGGCAACTTCAACAATTAAACTAAGTGGGTAGGATTGAAATAAAAAAGGATATTTAGTATGTATCATATCATCATCATCATCATCATTACAGCCCTTCACGAGTCCACTGCTGAACATAGGCCTCCCCCAAGGAATACCACAAAGCACGGTCTTAAGCCACCTGCATCCATCGACTTCCTGCATGTCCTACCAGGTCGTCACTCCATCTAGTGAGGGGTCGCCCTACAATACGCCTACCGGTATGACACTGCCACTCGAGAACCTTTCTTCCCCATCGGTTATCGGTTCTTCGAGCTATACGGCCGGCCCATTGCCACTTCAGCTTACCAATCCGCTGGGCTATGACGGTCACTCTGGTTTTACCGCGGATATCCTCAGATTCTATCACCCAGAGAAACTCCGAGCATAGCCCCCTCTCGCTGAGTGACCTTGAGCGTCCACATACGGCCAGTAGTGAAGGACCACGTCTCAGATCTCTCACTTTAGTTATCAGAGATTGAGGTATACCTGACGATAAGATATAAGACTGATCGTAATTTCCCGAACGCTGCCCAATCGAGTTGAATCCGTCGATTGACCTCTCAGTCGAAGTTGGACTTACCTAGTCGGACTGTTGGTCCCAGGTACAAGTACTCGTCAAAAACTTCGAGCATAGTGCTCCCAACAACTACCGGTACAGGTGTGACATGGACATTAGACATACTTACTTACTTATCGTCACGCACAATCCCTAACGGGGTAGCCAGAGAGAACAGATCGCCAAGTGTCACGATCCTTACATACCTCTTTCGCTTCTTTCAGGTTCATTAACTTCTTCTTACATGCACGTCTAGGTATCCGAGTACTCTTGACTCTCCCCTCTTCGAGCAATTTGCTCACATGGTCTTCGAAAATTAGTCTCGGTCTACCTCGACACCTTTTAATATTTACTTTCGCTCTATATATTTTCTTCACCATTCGGTCTTCACTCATTCGTTCAACGTGCCCAAACCATTGAAGTACGCCCCTATCAATTTTTGTGATAAGGTCATCTTTCAATCCTGCCATATTGCGAATCTCTTCGTTTCGCTTTCGGTCGGCTATGGTAACGCCACATATTTTACGAAGAGATCGCATCTCCACTGCATTCAACTTGCTTTTATGCTTCTTCTGGCATACCCAGGTTTCGCTGCCATATAACAAAGTCGGTACCAACACTGCGTTATGTATTGCAAGGCGTGCACTCTTCACCACGCCTTGTCTTTTTACTAATGCATTCAGGGCACCATTGACTTCGTTTCCGGCAGCGACACGCCTATCCACATCTAAATCACATCTTCCATCCCAGCTGAAAGCACTCCCCAAGTATACAATTTCATTTACCTGTTCTAGACATTCCTGATTTACCCATATTTCGCATTTCGTTCTCTCTTCGTCCTTTTCAAATACCAGAACCTTAGTTTTATTAGCATTCAAACGGAGACCTTTAATTTCACATTCATCTTTCATACACGTGACTAATGCCTGCAGTTCGGCTTCTGATGGTGCAATAAGCACTGCATCATCAGCATACAGCAGACAATTAACTTTTATGTCACCCAATTTCACACCCAAACAGCTATTTTTCAGCTTCTGTA